CTATGCAGTAGTCTACCTAACACACACGTTCCTTTCATTCTTTTTTTTTTCAATTTAAATCGACGATGAAAACGCTATAGCCACAGAATAAAAAACAATTGTTTTATATATAGTGGGAAAGCATATATATATCAGGCAATGACGTATGATGAACAAAAACTTGCTGTTATTGAACAATTTAGTCGATTATTTAATAAATCGATTGAATTTATTCGTTCAGAATTCATTGAAATATTACATACAGATTGGACAGAAGAAGAATATGAGCGTGGAGGATATGAATCGTTTTGTACACCAGGTAAATTGATATTAGAGGGAGATGCGTTGAAAAAACCAATTGATAGACTTCTCTTTGCTGGTACCGAGACAGCTGCTCATTATAAAGGCTATATTGATGGTGCTATCGAAGCTGGCTATAGAGCAGCAGATGAAGTAGCTTCAATGTTGTGCATTGATAGAATTTCGGTACAGTGAAGTTCTCTACGCCAAGCTATACCATCTTTAAAGATGTTCCCTTCTCGTTTCGATATATAATATATACTAATTGTAATTTAATTTATTAAATCGAAATTCATTTCCTGTTTTGTTTTAGGCGCCACTTTTATTTTAAATATGAACAGGCAAAAATTGCATAGTTTCACCAAGGTAAATCTTTCCTGAAAAACAAGCATTGTCACTAAAGGAGCAGTGTGATCGTTTACGCAACTGATGTTCAGCTACCATAAGTCAACGAATATCAATATTGGATCTCCTAAAAAAACTGATACTACGCTTTAACTGCAATAAAACGTGACACTTGAGACTATCTATCCATGTAGAAGAAGAAATATTTTCCTATTTGGAGTTTTCGAGATGCGAACTTGTTTTTCAAATACCCTTCGAAAACTCACACGAAACATTTACAAACTCATTTTCCCATAAGAATATGCAGTCAGGTCTGGCCTATCAATTAATAGAACGCGTACGCCTTCATCCCTTCTGCTCAAAAGTTATTTATAAAAGATTTATGTTCATCATGTGCATAGTGTGTAACAATAACAATAACAATAACATTGGAATTATTTGATGAAATGCTACGAGAATGAATTGACTTTCTCGTATTTACTATTCACCTCTGTTACTTTAGCATGTTTTATCAGCTTAAACTACATTTTAAAATTTCTTTTATTAGCGATTTTTGTGAAAAAACTCACTTATCTCGAAATAAAATTCATCTTTCATAATCAGTTAAGTTTGACGTACATGACGAGAAGCTTCAGTTGCTAAGAATGAACCTCTTTTGCCGTTTTGATCGTGTTATGATAGAGCTCACGGCGTACACATATGCAATAAAACAAAGGGCCAGTTCTCACAGCCTTTTTTTCGACTTTTGAAAATTTAGGACTGCTCTAGTACTGTACTTTAGTGCTTGAAGACCGTATATATTTTTCATTCTCATAATGCGGTAAATACCTCGTTACTAAAATAAATAAATCAGCTATTCAGTTATTATTGCTCGAGCGCTGCTAAAGCGAGCAATGTGTGAGACAAACACGGTTGAAGAGGTGATGTGTAGTCGCGGGCGAAAGCATTTTAAAAAAAACAGGAATTCTAAATTTGGATTTATGCCAGACGTACTGCTTTCTCAGTCTCCAACTGCATGCCGAATACGTACGGGTCGAGTAATAATCTCTTTGTTAGAACACGGACGTATACACTACCGGACTATCGGCAGTTCGGACCGGGACTGAGTCCAGACTGATAGGTGTTTCACACGGACTGAGACTGAAGGCATAAGAAACTTTGTGACTGGACTTTTCAGTTTAATGTGAGAAAAGATGAAATTCTCATTCTCTTTCCTAATTCTGTTATGAATTAGGAAANTTTTTCCTAATAGAAAAAATACTATTTCTGTATTGTCTAAATTCGAGAGGCCGCCACATCATGAATTTTCGCACCCATATAAATTACATGGGATATATGATCACCTCCCTAGCGAAAGATCAGATGACCTGGTCAGGGTCCTGGCCAGATCACTGAAATGTGATAAGAACAGGTCTCTGATTTCCTGACCAGTACACTGATTTTCGTTTTCGTTTTCCGATGGTACATGCTATAGAAAAACGACACATCTTACAGCAAAACTTTCTCACTACACAAACTTGTTAAACTTAGCATTCTACAGAAGTGTGAAACAGCTTGTTTTCCAATTGAAGTGACTGTTTAAGACCAAGAATATTTAGATAGAAATGTTTTCTAAGAAAAGTTGTACAGTTACTCTTGTATGAGTTTTCGGGCGGTTTGAAATACCTTTTGAAAGGATTAGTAAAAAGCCAACAAAATTCTCTTCAAAATACATTAATTATATCCAGTTTTTG